ATATATATATATATATATATATATATATATATTAATACACCCACAAAAAATAAAATTGGAGAGGAAACAAAACCTGAAAAATTAGTCCATAAATTTTTGTAAACTGAAAAGCTGATGAAAAGATGGACAGATGGATGGAGATTCTTATTCAACAAATAAATACTTGTTCAAAACATACCAGGCAATTTCTAAGTGCTGAAGAAATAACAAAAAAAAAAATTTTTTTTTTTTGAGACAGAGTCTTGCTCTGTCACCCAGGCTGGAGTGTAGTGGCACAATCTCTGCTCACTGCAACCTCCACCTCCCAGGTTCAAGCAATTCTCCTGCCTCAGTCTCCTGAGTAACTGGGATTACAGGCACCTACCATCATACCCAGCTAATTTTTGTATTTTTAATAGAGACGGGGTTTCACCACATTGGCCAGGTTGGTCTCTAACTCCTGACCTTGTGATCCACCCATCTTGTCCTCCCAAAGTGCTGGGATTATAGGTGTGAGTCACTGCACCTGGCCCAACAAATCTTTTTTAAATGACCACTTAATGAGTTTTAGTGTAATATCAAAAAAAAAAAATCCATAATTTTTGAAAAGGCTATTTAAAAACACCTTTCTTTCCAAATAAATATTTATGTGAAACTAGATGTTCTTCATCTATATTAATTAAAACATTTCCTAGCAGACTGAATACTGAAGCAGACATGAGAATTCAGCTATCTTCTACTAAGCCAGACATTCAGTATATTAACAAAAATAAAAACAATGCAGGTCCCTTCTCACTTTTTAAAATACAGTAATTTTACTATAAAATGATATCCTATCAATATATAAATTTATTTTAAAATAAGCTAATAAATACATATTCTTAAGATTTGTTTTAATTTCTACTATGATAAATATGACTAGATGTAATCTGAATAAACAAAAACTCCTTGGAGTTCTCAGTTAAGTTTTAGGAATGCAAGGTTTCCTGGAGTCTTGAGATCAAAAAGTTTGAGAACTACCGGTCTGTAAGTTGCAATACAGGTGATGAGAAATGACTGCATCCTAAAGGTACAGCTGACAGAATATGCTGTGGCTTAGATGTGGCAGGAGATGAAAAGATATTGATAAATGTTAAGCTGGAGCAAATTAGTAGACAATGTTGCAATTTAATAAAAGGTAAAATAGTGAGGGTGGAGGTGCACTGCTGCAAAGAAAAATCAAGAGTTCTGTTTTTAAGTGTTAAGTATTGATTAGATGTGAAGTGGAAATATAAAATAGGCAGCTGAATTCTAGAGCTCAGGGAAAACTGAAAAGTTGAGACACAAATTTGATAGTCTATAAGCATCTATATCATGATCGAGTTATATCATCTTGGGAGTGTGTAGACAGAAGAGATGAGCGGGCCAAGGACCACGCCCTATATGCCAACATTTAAAGATCAGACAGAAGAGGAGGAACACCAAAACAACTACAAAAAAGCCCCTGGTAACCCAAACATTATTATTATTATTTATTTTTTTTTTTTTTTTGGAGACAAGGTCTTGCTCTGTCACCCAGTCTGGAGTGGCAGTGGCACAATCTGAGCTCACCGCAACCTCCACCCCTCTGGCTCAAGCGACCTTCCCACCTCCGCCTCTAAGTAGTTGGGACTACAGGCACACACCATCATGCTTGGCTAATTTTTGTATTTTTCTGTAGAGACAGGGTTTCACCATGTTGGCAGGGTGGTCTGGAACTCCTGGGCTCAAGTGATCCGCCTGCTTTAGCCTCCTAAAGTGCTGGGATTATGGGTGTAATAATGGGTGCAGTGAGTCACTGCACCCAGCCATAATATTTTTAAAGAAAAAGAAGTGTTCATTCAAACAGTAAGCTGACATCAGGGTACATATCCTAAAGAAACTGTTGTACATATATGTCAGAAGATCTGTACCAGACATTTACATCAGCATTGTTCAAAACGTAGCAAATATATGGAACAGACTGTAAGACCCATCACCCCTCTTTCTTAGAGTCATAAATCAATCCCACATCATTCTACTAGTTGTCTGAAGATTTTAGTTTTGAATTCAATCCCAAACTACCACTGTCATAATTCTTGGTGATTTCAATATCAAGAGAGATGATCATTCCAAAAGTCTTTACATTTATTATTGCTGGAATGTTCATTCTCACGTATCAATAAGGTTTCTTCTCACAGGTCTTTGCTTTAATATTCCCTTCATAATAAGACCTTCCCAAATTATCCAATTTTAAACTGCATAATTTTCCCTCTAGTGAAGGCACTTGCTATTCCCCTTCCCACTTGATTTTTCTTTCTCCTTTTCTTTTTTTTTTGAGACAGAGCTTTGCTCTTGTTGCCCAGGCTGGAGTACAATGACGACATCCCAACTCACCACAACCTCTGCCTTCTGGGTTGAAGCCATTCTCCTGCCTCAGTCTCCTGAGTAACTGGGATTACAGGCATGCGCCCCACACCCGGCAAATTGTTTGTTTGTTTGTTTGGGTTTTAGTCGATACAGGGTTTCTCCATGTTGGTCAGGCTGGTCTTCAAATCCCGACTTCAGGTGATCCGCCTGCCTTGGTCCCCCAAAGTGCTGAGATTACAGGCGTGAGCCACCAGCCCCTACTTGATTTTTCTACATAACCTTTATCTTCAGTGACATACTATGTACCTTATTTGTTTATAATACTCATTTAAGTTTGAAAAAGTAGGAATTTATATCTGTTTACTCTGGTATCTCCGGAGACAAAACAATGCCTAAACACAGCTGGCATTAAAAATATTTGTTAAATGAATTAAGATATTATTCAGGAATATTACATGTCTGATAATAGTATTATTAAAGTCCAAACAAATAACTCAAAATTAAGTTTGGGTTATAGGTGAGAGGAAGAGAAGTAAAATATGATCAAAGAACACATAGGGGGATCAAAGCTATTAGCAATTTTATATTTCTTTTGGCTGGAGTGCAGAAGTACTGGGATTATAGGTGTGAGTCACTGTGCCTGGCATAATTTTATATTTCTTCAAGTAAAAGGGTATTTACTTTATTGTTCTTTAACCTGACATACACATATTTGTATACTTCTTTTGTATAGAACAGAATATATATTTTACACGCATTATTTTAATGGAGGAAGTGGTCAAATTATGTTAAATACTGCTGGAAAAATAGTTAGAAGAGGGCCTAGTTAACAAATTTGACTACCCTGAAAAGTAAAAGAGATGAGGAAAGAGATAATTATACATTAACAATCCTTTGAAAAAAAATTGTTATGAGGCTGGGCATGGTGGCTAACACCTGCAATCCTAGCATGTTGGGAGGCCAAGGCGGGCAAATCCCTTGACCCTAGGAGTGAAACCAGTGTGGGCAACATGGCAAAACCCCATTTCTACAAAAAATTTAAAAGAAAAAAAAATTAGCGAGGTGCAGTGGCGCGTGCCTGTAGTCCCAACTGCTCAGAAGCTGAGGTGGGAGGATGTCTTGAGCCTGGGAGGCAGAGGCTGCACTGAGCTGTGATCGCATCACTGAACTCCAGCCTAGAAAACAGAGCCTAAACCTGTCTCAAAAAAAGAAAAAAAGAGAGTGAGATTGTTATGATTGTTATGAAGGAGAGCACAGAAATAAAACCGTACCTGATGGGTAAAAGAATTCAGGAGGAAATTTTTGCTGTTCCTTTCTTTTTTAATAACAATATTAAGGCATGTTTGTATACCAACTGAATGATTCACAGGGCAAAACACTATCCATGAAGCTAATTAAAAAAATGTGGAGAAGCTCCTAAGAAGATAGGAAGGAATCAAAATTCAAAGATTTCAAGTGGAAGAGCCATGTAATTTTATGAAGTAAGAACTGTTAGAACTCTATCTCACATCTACTGAATGCAAAACAAACTTGAATAAAGCTAGAATTGTACTAACAATCTAAATTTAAGCATTAAAGTTGCTAGAGGTGTAAACAATAAGAGTAAAGAAAGACCTACTTTGAAAGTCACCGTTGCCTTTGTGCAATAAAATCCTACAGAAACAATAGGATCCTTCAAAGTCTGTGCTTTTTGTTGATGTATGGTTGATGCAGGATCGTTCCCAACAAAGTCTTCCTCACCATCGTCATAACTCACAATTGCAGGCACAAAGGACCAGGCCCACGATACCCATCCCTGTGGCTGCTCCTCATCTTGCTGTGCATATAGCTCTTGAACTTTATATTGAGCAGGATATTGTATATCTACTCTTGTTTCATCTTCAGAACCTATCAATTAAAATAAAGTCATTTTAAATAAATCAAAAGGATTAGAAATAGATATCCTTTAAATTTTTCCTCCCATATCCTTCTAATATAAGGTATAAACAAATGATACATTGATTATCATTATTTGAAACGAATCATTTAGCATTACGACTCTCAAGTTTCTGTATGTTGTACTGTATCAATCTCCTTTAGTAAGTTATGGTTATTGAGATGTGGAGAGTAGTTTATCAACTGCACATAGCTTTTAACTGTATTTGATAAATTCAAAGAATAAATTAATTCTTAAACATCACTCATGAATGTTTTAAACCAACAACAAAAAAACCTACCTCTCAAAAATAAAGCTAATATATTGAAAAACTGACTTTTATCAAAAACATAGTACCACAAAGATCCAAGAAACATTCTCCATTTTCTGATGCACCCATGGAGGAAAAAAAAATGGCAAGTGCTTCTGGGCAAAATGCACCCCCGCCCAACCAAGAATTATCCCAAACATGAAAGCAAATGTTACAATAAAATGACTTTTATATGTAGTTAAGAAAAATAATAATGTTGGGCCCTCTTTCTTACTAGCAAGTAAGATACGTTGTACCTTTCCTGTTCTACAGATGAAAAAATTAAAGCCAAGAAATTTTATTTGGCTAACAATTGGCAGACCAAAAATTTAGATCCCAACCACCCTTTAATTTATTCCACCTTTGTAAAGACAAACTCCATCAAAGTCCCTTAACATTATTCTAGCACTATAAACCAAAAAGGCATATCATCATGAAACTTAGAAAGAAAAAAATTACTTTTTAAAAAATTCACAGGAGCCAGGAGTGGTGACTCACACCTGTAATCCCAGCACTTTGGGAGGCTGAGGTGGGCAGACCACCTGAGCTCCGAAGCTCAAGACCAGCCTATTGCAACAAAGCGACACCCCCATCTCAAAAAAAAAAAAAAAATTATCAACCATGCTCAGTGGCATGCACCTGTAGTCCCAAGCACTCAGAAGGCTGAGCCTGGAGGATTCCTTGAGCCCAGGAGTTGAAGGCTTCAGTGAACTATGATCATGCCATCATACTCCAGCCTGGGCAACAGAGTAAGACTATGTCAACAAATAAATAATAAATACATAAAGTAAAATAAAATTTTTAAAAGACACCAAAAAAGCTTTAAATGGACAGGTATTTAACACATACTTCACAAAGGCAGAAAAGGCCTACAACCATATTAAAAAATTTAAAATAATTAGCCATCAAAAATGCAAACTAAAACCATGAGATACCAAAACACACTCATCCCAATGGTAAAAATGTCAAAAAATACACCATTAAGTGTTGGCAAGGATGCAGGCCAACTGCAAGTCTCACACATTGTTGATATGAATATAAAATGGTACAACCACTTTAGAGAAGGTTCTGGAAGTTTCTTTGAAAACTAAACATATAATTCCACTCTTAAGTATTTACCTAAGAGAAAGAATAGCACACGTCTACATGACATTTGTACAAAAATATCTATGAATGCTTTATTTATACTAATAACCAAAAAATAAAAACAGCCCAAGTGTTCATCAACAAATGAATGGTAAAATAAACTATAGTATATTCACATGGTATATTCATACAATGTACATAGCAATGAAAAGCAAAGAATGACTGCTACATGCAACAACATAGATAAATCCCAAACATACTTGCTTAACGAAAGAAACCTTTTATACATATTGAGTGATTCTATTTGCATGAAATCCTAGAACTGGCAAAACTAAATCTATGATTTTAAAAAACTTCCAAATCTCCAAAGGAGGCCAGCAGGTGGAGGGGGATGACTAGAAAGGGGCGTAAGAAACTGAGATGTTAATGACCTATATCTTGATGACTGTTTCACATCACACAGGTATACGTATTTCTTAAATTCATTGAATTTTACTTTGGAGATTTAACCTCCAAAAATATAAAAAGACTCACTTAGTAGAAACTCTAGATAACAATATGCAGCTGAGGCTTAAGGGTGAAGTGTACCAAGGTTTGTAACTTATCTTGAAAGACATCAAAAACATTGGTTGTATTGATAAAGAAAGGGATGTTAGATGAACAGATATGTGATGAAGCAAATGTAACAGAATATTAATAGTAGACTCTAGATGGTAAGTATGTGAGTGTTCACCTAATAATAACGCTTTCAGCTTTTCTATATATTTCAAATTTGTCATGTTGGAAAAAAATGCAAGTATTGTCTATGTGCTACATTTATTCCAGGTAAAAAACACTGTTTCTGTCTCAGAAGTTCATTGTCTAACCAAAATTCACCCTCTGGTGTGAAATACAGGTATGTTTTATAGCTATATACTCTGATTAATGTTGTTCTCTATGCTTTAAGGTAGTAAGATTTTTTAATGCAACAATGTCTAAATAGCAAAAAATTCAACCTTCTTAAAGGTGTACAATTCAGTGGTTTTTTTAATTTTAGAACATTTTCATCATTCCAAAAAGAAATCTACTTTTTTGCAGTTATGAACTCCTCCCAGGAGTTATGATCTCAACTCCTGGTTACTAATCTACTTCCTGCCTCTACAAAAGTGCCTATTCTAAACATTTCTAATGGAATCATGTATGTGTTATTTTTTCACTGACTGCTTTCACTTAAGATAATGCTTTCAAGGTTCATCCATGCTATAGCCTGTATCAGTATTTCATTTTTCTGTATAGCTAAGCAATATTGCAATGCATACCGTAATTTGATAATCCATTCATCAGCTGATAAACATTTCAAATGTGTCCAGTTTTTGGCTACTATGAATATGCTACCATGAACATTCATATATAAGTTTTTACATGGACATATGTTATCAATTCTCTTGATATATAAGTAGGAATGGAATTGCTGGGACAATATGGTAACTGTATATTCAACTTTTTGAAGAACTGCCATATTGTTTTCCAAAGCAACTATACCATTTTACACCCCCAACAGCAACTTACATGAGTTCCAATTTCTCCACATCCTCACTAATACCTGTTATTTTGTATCTTATTATTGTCATCTAGTGCCTATGAAGTGGCATCTAATTGAGGTTTTGATTTGCTTGTTTGCTATTTGTTTATCTTCTTTGGAGAAATGCCTCTTTCCTCATTTTTAATTGAGTTATTTGCCCCTAAGCTTGAAATGCCCTTCTCTTAGGCCTTTATCTAGGGAAATTAATCATCTTAAAACTTTCTGAGTCTCAGGCCCAATACCAAGTCAAAATCAATCATTCCTTTCATCTTTCTACATCAGATCATTCACGCTACTATTTATCAAACTTTCTGCCATTCTACCATATGTCATACTTAACTATCGACATGTCTGACCCATTTTATCTTAAAATTCTAAGGGAAAGAAACATATCAAAATGATCTCCATTATTTTCCCATATTACATATCCTTCAACGAATCTTAGATTTCAATAATTAATAGCACTAACATAACTCAATCTTAGTTAAGTGAACCTTTGCAGAAAAATTACTAATACTATTATTTACTAGGAAATCTTGAGGCTATACTACTTCAACTTTTATAAAACATATATCCTGGGCCAGGCATAGTAGCTCACACCTTTAATCCCAGCACTTAGTGACACTGAGGCAGGCAGATCACTTATACCTTAGCGTTTGAGACCAGCCTGGGCAACACAGCAAAACTCTGTCTCTGCAAAAAACGCAAAAATTAGCCAGGCATGGCGGTGCATTCCAGTAGTCCCACTTGGAAGGCTAAGGTAGAAGGATCACCTGAGCCTTGAAGGTCAAGGCTACAATTACCCACCCAGCCTGGGTGAGAGAGCAAAATCCTGTCTCATTCATAAACAAATAGTACATTCTGTACACTTATTTCTATTAGAAATATAAAAGTTATTTTAAGTATATAAGAAAAAATCATAATGTTATTCAGCATGTAGATAAAATTAAAGTAGTGTAGGACAGGTACGGTGGCTCATGCCTGTAATCCCAGCACTTTGGGAGGCCAAGGCAGGCAGATCACCTGACATCAGGAGTTTGAGACCAGCCTGGCCAACATGGTGAAACCCCATCTCTACTAAAAAAACACAAAAATTAGCCAGGTGTGCTGGTGAATGTCTGTAATCCCAGCTACTCAGCAGGCTGAGGCAGGAGAATCGCCTGAACCTGAGAGGCAGAGGTTGCAGTGAGCCATGATTGCACCACTGCACCCCAGCGTGGGCAACAGAGCTAGACTCCATCACAAAAAAAAAAAAAAAAATTAAAGTAGTGTAAAACAACCAAAATACCATCAGCTCATCTCATTAGAATACTGTAAAACTAAATCAACACATTTTTTTAAAGTTTCCCAATGGTAAAATAAAGTTTTAATTTAATATAATTTTTATGTTACTTACCTGTAATGTTTCCTAGCATATCTTTATTGTAACAAGTAGGGTCCTCTATTTCTCCTTCTTTAAAATTGCCTATTTCTCCATAGTAAAGAGCAATTCCAAGTTGCATTATACGAATAAACATAGGCAGCTGTTGATCTGTGATAGAAAGTTTCAAACTTTCTACTAAAGTATGAATCTGCATTTTGAAATAGACAAAAACACAAACGCCTGTTTTAAAAGAGTACCTTTCATGCAAAGAAATTTTTTTAAGTCTTCAAATGGCAAAACATAAATGTTCCAAACATTTTAATAAAAATTTTATGTCATTTTAATAAAACTCTAATCATTTTTTCCAGTTTTATTAACCATAAAGAATATACATCCTAAAACCATATGTTAACTGGGGAAAAGACCAATATTACAACTATGAAAGTATGTAAATAATAAAATTTTTGTCAAATATGGAAAACCAAATGAAATATATGTTAAAAAAAAGTTTTTCAGACAAATTTTAAATAACACTTAAATAACAAAAGTTTTTCAAATTTTAGATAAGATTCAAATAACATAAAATTTATTCAACTGATAAAATGAAACAATTATAACAAAGAAATAAGATTAACTACTAGCAAATAGGGCATATAGCAGTGAAAGTTCTTAAAGAAAGAGACACCAGTGGAATATAAACACAGCTTCAGTGTAATGGTTTCCTCCTGTTATTGAAACATGGAGTAAAACCAATTAAGCTATAAAGTCAAGTATCTGAGAAGGTTTATTTTGACTAAAGTATTTGAGTGTCTACGAAAGATGAAGCATTAGTAATAGTAATCATCATGTTTCTAGGGCTCAGAGCACCAAAAACATATATGTGAAGGTGGAGAAAATTGTATGGAGGGCCTGTGAAATATCATATTTCAAATATAAGCACAAATTTTGTGTTTTTTTTGCTTTTTTTTTTTTGAGACAGAGTTTCACTGTGTCACCAGGCTGGAGTGCAGTGGTGCAATCTCTAATCACTGCAATCTCGGCCTCCCAGGTTCAAGTGAGCCTCAGCCTCCCAAGAAGCTGGGACAACAGGCACCTACCACCACGCCCGGCTAATTTTTGTATTTTTAGTAGAGACGGGGTTTCACCATGTTGGCCAGGATGGTCCCGAACTCTTCACCTCGTGATCTGCCCACCTCTGCCTCCCAAAGTGCTAGGATTACAGGTGTGAGTCACCATGCCTGGCCAGAGCACAAGTTTTTAAAAACTGATCTAATAATTATACACAGAATAAACAATGAAGAGGTAAGAAAATGGGGAATGAGTGTGGGAGGTGAGCAAGAAAGGAGTATTCATATCTACTAAGGTTTCCTTAATTTGAAATTTCTCTGTCACATTCTTTGAAATGTTGTATTGCACCAATAGCATTGGTGATAAGCAGTCAGCAAAACCAGTAACAATCTGTCATAAGTATCTATTTAAAATCTACTTAAAATGAATAAGATTAATAGTCAATAGAAAAATGGATAAAGAACCTGAATTGATAATACAAAGAACAAATGGCCAGTGAATGTGTTTTAAAAAATCTAACTTCACTAATAAATGGCAATTAAATTACATATCATTTGTGGTTCAACATGTCGGCAATTTTTAAAATATGATAATATTTAAGGATAATGAGAATATAATATAGGCACTCCTCTTGATGTTCATGGGTGTATAACCTGGTTAAATCTTGCTGAAAATAACCTGAAAACACAGATCTCAGGCCTTTTTTAAAAAAAAAAAAAAAAAGATATTTGCAATTACAACAAATCTTTCCTAAGGAATTACTCAGAAATGTCAAAGATCTATGCACAGAAATTCATTGCTCTGAGAAACTGCAAAGGAAATTTCCAAAAACAGGAGAAATGTTAAATAAATTATGTACCCCTAGGATCTGTATCTCATAAACATCATAATTATCAGAGCATATTTATTTCACACAAAAAATGGAAAATTATAAAAAGCCAACCTAAAATATAAATAAATACATTCAAAAGCCACTTAAACATATATGAAAGATTTAAAAAGAAGTAAGAGTATCTAGAACATTTTGGGAAAACTCTTGTTTGTGAGGTAATTAATGAGGTCGACCATATCTATTTAATACATATTCCCTAGAATTAGGAGTTGGAAGGATGATGGGTCTAACCCAAAATGGTAAATCTTAACATTACAATAGTATTAGCAAAATACTAAGGTAGGCATTATGGCTCATGCCAGGAATCCAAGCACTTTGGGAGGCCTAGACAGGAGAAGTACTTGAGGCCAGGAGGTTCAAGACCAGCCTGAGCTGCATAGTGAGACTCCATCTCCCAAAAAACAAAAAAAAAATTAAATATGAGCCAGGGATGGTGACAGGCATCTGTAGTCCTAGCTACTCAAGAGCCTGAAGCGGAAGGATTGCTTGAGCCCAGGTGTTCAAGGTTACAGTGAGCTATGATTGTGTCACTTCACTCCAGCCTGGGTGACAGGGAACCTTGAAAGTAAAGAAAAAATAAAGGAAAAGAGGTCAAAGAAGAGAAAAGGAGAGGGGAGGGGAGGGGGTAGATTAGGGAAGAGGAGGGGAGGAGATGGGAAGGGAGGA